ATCAACGATTAGACAATTATTACCAAATACAAACAAAATACTACGGTGCGCTATATTGTACTACAATATTTTAGACGACGCCGATTCGGGGCAACTAAACACGGCATTGCATGTGGGCATAGCAGCCACTGCGAGGCGGCGGCATGGCGGCCATACCAGCATGCGTGTGCGTTGTCGCTGGTCACGGGCAAGCAGTCTGTGTCGGTGGCGCGGCGGCCACCATGTAGGCCTGGCCCTACGCTGCATTGGGACAAGGAAGAAAAAAACGACAAAGAAACTGAACTGCCGAAATACAAAACGGAGTCACGGACGAGTAAAAAGCGAACGGGAATAAAAAATTGAAAAATAGAAACAAGAGTCACGATGGGAAAAACAACAAACGAAAATAAAAAACTTTAATTCAAAAAAAAAAAACTTTAAAAATAGAAACCAAGATAAGATGAGATACTATACAAACTTGTACTCTTATTTTTATTATTTGATTGGAACTCCTATTCATGTTATATGGGATCAGAGAATTTATTTGATTAGAATTAGGATTCCTATTTGTTTAGAATTCTGATCCAATATATTTTGGAATCGGACTCCGTATCGCGAAAGCTATTCTAATTCGTATGAGTATGAGTTATATATATGTCCGAACAAAAGAAACTCTTCATTATCCGGTAGTTAAAGAGAGACGAACAAAAAAAATGGACTGGACCAAAAAATGGGCTGAAACTTTAGCTCTTTATTATTAGGTATAGATATAGATATATATTTATTAGGTATATCCTATTAATTTTTAAAGAAAATATAGTTTGTATTGGAAACGTGTCCACAACACTTATCTTCTAGGTTCGAATGTGGAGATCAGACAAATAAATTTCTGAACATGCTTCTCTAGTTCTCGTGTCTCTTTCACGTTGGACAAGCACCTAACTCTCGCTATTGTCTTTGTTTTATTTATTAGGAAAGGATCAAGGTTCAAGGGCCTATTATATTTTATATTTGTTATGTTTATATTTATATACATTTCTATGTTTATATAATAAAAAGGAATATTCTCGAGAAAAGATAAAAACTCAAAAAAGATCGGCTAACAAGACGCACGGAAAGGAGGTCACTCTCGAAAAAAGATAAAACGGAAAATGACCGGCTGCAGGTGCCGTGGCGTAGTTTTGGATGGCAAAAAACCCCGACGCAAACAAACACAAGACGCCTGACGCGGCTGGGCCGCTCGTTCCAGGACGTTTAACGCCGCGTCTGCGTCCAAGCGTTAAACGTCCATGCCGTAGTTTTTTTTTTTGCCGGCTCAGCAGGCGGTCCAAAGCGTTAAACGTCTTGTGTTTGTTTGCCGTCCGTGTTGGTTTTTTTTTTTTTTTTTTTTGTCTATCCAGTGTTTCCCACGGTTCCTGCAGCCGGTCATTTTCCGTTTTTATCTTTTCTCGAGAGTGACCTCCTTTTCATTAGCCGATCTTTTCGAGTTTTTATCTTTTCTCGAGAATATTCCTTTTTTATTATATAAACATAGAAATGTATATAAATATAAACATAACAAATATAAAATATAATAGGCCCTTGAACCTTGATCCTTTCCTAATAAATAAAACAAAGACAATAGTGAGAGTTAGGTGCTTGTCCAACGTGAAAGAGACACGAGAACTAGAGAAGCATGTTCAGAGCCAGAGGGCTCGTATCTGGCTTATAATTTATGGCTTAAACAATATTTTTTTTCCACACCAAATCAGTCAGCAGTACTTTCAATCATGACTTATAAGTCAATCTAGCCAAAACGAACAGGCTGATATATGTCGTTCGTGGGGCAGTGTGATTATTTTTTTTACACATGTGCGACTATTTTTTTTTACCCCACAAAGAGTTTGTTCTTCTTGAATTTATTGGAGATCTATGTTCTTCTTGAATCTTTTTTTTTCTGATGGCAGGGCGAGCGAGGTCTCGGGAGACAACAACCGTCCCACGATAAGGATCTCGGCTTGGTGGTCCTTTATTTTGCGAATAAGAGGGAATTCGGCGATTTCGCTCATGGGGCGCCTGATTTAATTCGATCTGTCTTTGATTTTGATTAGATTATGTATATGTGTGTCTGGTTCGGTCTATTGTGTACTTGTATTTTATTTGGATTGCCCGTGTTGTATTATATTGCTACGATTTCGGGATCTACAGGTTCGGTCTCTTGGCTTGCTTGCAGATTTGGAAAAAGCTTCGTTACAGATTGGGGGACCGGAGGAATTCTGGTTGATTTCGAAGTGGAGATTGTTACGGAGTGGGGAGAGGTCAGACAAAAATTTTGACCAGACGAAAATTTTGGCTCAAATTTTACCGTTTTAGTATTATTAGAGATTAGAGATCAACAAGGCGGAAGAAGGGGCTCACCGAGCGCCCGCGCCATAGCCTCCAGCCTGCCGCGGGAGGAGACGCTCCAATCCAACCGGAAGCGCCCAAGAGAGCTGGAGACAAGCAGCGGAAACCCTCGTCTCCGTCGGCGGTGGCGACCGCGACAGCAAGTGCGGAAAAGAGGAGTGGGGGTCGATGAACTGGGCACCAGTAAATTTTTTTTTACGTATAATGTCTGCAAAGGGTGGAATACGTACTTTTTTTTGAGGGGAAGGGTGGAATACGTATACCTACGTAGAGGTACGTTATATGTCGAGCAGGAGAATCGTCTGGGACGGATGGGCCCACTGGAGGCCCATTTCCACAGCCACGGTTTCTCCGAGGCCCCTGAATTTAACCAGGGCCGAGGCGGTCTGTGACAACGGCATGCATGCCGCGGTGCAAGCCATGGGCCATGGCCATCTCACCAGGGTTGCGCCGCCCTCGTGGTCCACGCTTGTCATTCTGGCGTTACCATGGTCCACGTGAGCTGTTGTCGTATGAAGGAAAAAAATTGGACGGGTAGTGTATCCACCGTGCCTCTATGCATACATGCTATGGATAGTTACTACGTGTTCATTCTCACAAATCCAACAGCGCATGGCGGTGGTGGAAAAGCAGCGGCGTGGGAGGGCATGATCGAAGCATGCGGAGTCTGCGAGACTTAATACATGGCAACTATTTATAGCATGTATGCAGGGAGGCACGGTGGATATAGTTTCCACCTAATTTTTTTCCATAATGCAGTGTGAGCTGCATGTATCGTGGTTTGTGCCGTATGCCCGTGGGTGCCCTGTATTTTGTGTGCTGCCAAAAATTTCTGTACTCGATGTGTTTTGATCCTTGACTTGATGAATGAGGATTTGGAGGTGCACATGTGTTTGGATGGTTGTCGAGCTCACCTCGTAACATGTGTGGTAAGGTTGGTCACTCTTGACTTCTTGAGATAACAATGGTAGGCAAAGTTTGCTAGGCAACCAAACATCCACCTTGGCACCACCAAGTTAGGGGGTTAGGGTCCAAAATTGATTGGAGAGACATAGTCCTTTGGACTCCCACACAGTGTGGCAAGCAATGGTACGCTACTGGTAACCCGCCTTGCATCCCTAACTTGCGGCACCATTGGCTGAAAAGAGCGGAATACAGGTACGCAACGTGTCGATGGAGGCTGAGAGACTGAGTGCAGAGCTTAAGGTCATATTTCTTATAAAATTCTCTTTTGGCTTTTGGTTAGAGCAACTCCAACGGACTCGTTATCCCACCCGACTTCAGTAAAATTGAGAGAAAACCCGCTCCAACAGCATCGTTAACATGCTCTCCAAAATACCGAGCAGTCTATCCCGCTTTCTTCGCTTATCAGAGTAGGCGAGCGGGCATCGCTCGCCATCCGGGTCGCCCCCGTGTTTACCGCGCGCGCCTCGATGATGCACTACACAACGACGCAGCACCTCATCCAACCGCGCTCGCACCACCTGCCATGCCCGGCTGCTCCATGCTTCCCGCTGGCACCTCCTCAAGATATGTAGCCACTCAGTGCCTGAACAATGGAGGGACGAGCTGCGAGGACTGAATGGATAAGATACAGAGAGAGCTTGCAGATGGATGTTTCAGAGTTCAGACCATGTGCGAGTAGCAGCACTTAGCAAACGAGGCACAGCATTCGCTACAGCGGTACAGTAAATTCGAGTAGTTTTAATGTGGGGTCTAATGACGTGGTGGCAGTTTTCAAATATAAAGAGCCAGTTTTGGAGAAGCTGCCGTGGAACTTCTCCATTTTGAGTAGCTAAATTATTTTAGAGAGCCCGTTTAGACGTCCAAATTTACAGATGCTCTCAAAAGCCAAATAATGATACAAACAACCAAGTTCTAAAATTGGTTTCGGAGAAGCAAAAGTTGGTATTTATTTAAGAGCGTCCAATTTTTAGCTAGATGTTTGGGTAAGAACTAGCCCAGCTATTGAACTCTTTGTTTAGATAAGTTAATACAAATGTTTAGCTAACTTTTTTTAGGGGAGTTTAGCTAACTAGCTAGGCAGCTAGCAATAGCTGTGATATATTAAAAAAACATGTTCCTAATCGAGAAATGGATAAATATTTGGATGAAAAAAAAAACGACGAATCCTCTCGGTGGCGGCAACTGGGCCTTTGCTATCCGGCCCAAAACTGCTCGGCGGCTCGGCGCTGTACTCTCCCCTTCCCCTGCGTCTCGCCGCCATAGAGGGAGACGAGAGTTTAGGCAACTCCTTCCTTCCCCGCGCCGGCGCCGCCCTTCTCACGCCCGCGTCTCCTCCGGCTGGTTCCGCTCCTCCCTCGCTCAGGCTGCGGCGCTCGGTAAGCCCCGCTCCCCAACCTCCTCCTTTCGCCCCGTATCCCGTACGCCTCGTGAACCCTTCTCGATTTCAGCCTTCCGATCAGGTTCTGTCCTATTCTATTCAGCAATGTTTCGCCATCTATTGAAATCTTCTGCCCCCTCGATCTAGCAGCTCGACTCATCTAGTGATCAAACCGGATTCTGCGGTGTTTTTGTGAAAGATGGAAATAGGGTTTTTTGATTATTAATTATTTTTGGTGTGGGTTATTTCCTCATCTAACGGAAGAGCTGCTCCGTGTAGGAGTAGACACGCCATGGAGGTTGAGGAGGCGGAGCTCGCCCGCGCAAGTGGTGATGGCGGCGGCGGGGGCAGGTGCTCGGCCGCCGGCCCGGACCGGCTGAGCTCCCTGCCGGACTGCCTCCTCCATACCATCATGTCCTTCATGAAGGCCCGGCAGGCGGTCCAGACATGCGTGCTGTCCACGCGGTGGAGGAACCTCTGGCGCTCGGTGCCGTGCCTCGATATCGACCTTGCTGAGTTCAAGACGGTGCCTGTTTCTGATAACAACTCGGGCTCCAGTGGCGACGACAACTCTGGCTCTGGTGGCGACGATAACTCTGGCTCTGGTGGCGACGATAACTCTGATTCTGACGGCGAAAGCTCTGAAAGCTCCGAATCTGATCTTGATAGCTCTGATTCCGATGACGGCGACGTCCCTGATTCGGACGGCAACAGCTCCGAAACTGATACTGTCAGCTCTGACTCCTCCGACATCACAACTTCTTCAGAGGACGACAGCTCGGACTCTGATACTTACATCTATGGCGCTAACATCAACAGCTACGAGAACAACAAGGTCAAGCACAAGGAATGGGAGGATTTCGAGGATTTCACCGTGAACCTGATGCGCCAATGTAACATTGCACAGCTGGATTCATTCCGCCTGCACATTGTTGGGAGCAGAGCACCTAAGTTTGGCAATAGACAGGCAGCAGGATGGCTCCGTCGCGCGATGAAATACTGCACCCCAGACCGGCCCAGACAGCATGGAGGAGTGAGCTCTGGTTCTTGGCATCTCAAAAGCCTCCATCTCTGCCATGTACTTCTGGATAACGGTTTCATGAAGCGTGTTAATTCAGTGTGCCGCTCTTTGGAGGATTTGGAGCTGGACGACTGCAGTTGTCAAATTGAGTCAGTCACCTCCCAGTCTCTGAAGACCATGGTTCTGAAGAATTGTAGATGGCGCAATCTTTCTGTGATTGCATCGCCCACACTGAAGACACTGGTTATTGATGGTGGCTCGAATACTGATGACTCTGGGCTGGTTATCTTGGCTCCTGCTGTTTCATATCTGAACCTGGCTGTGAAGGCTGACCAATTTTGTGGTGGTGTTTCAATAAATGAGGTGCCATCCCTTGCCAAAGCTTCAATTCGTATAAAGGGTCACGGTCACTTATATAGTTTTGTCAGAAGTAAACTTGATGGCGATCAGTTTAAGCTTCTTTGTAGCATATCGAATGTGACAAGTTTAGAGTTGTCAGGTGTCGGGTCGAGGGTATGCCTTCGCTGTCTCTGGCAATTTTCCAATTTATTCACTCCAGTAATGTTATTGTACTATCTAAGTATCTATAATGTACTTCAGGTGCTCGGAAAGGAACCCAGATTCCAAAAATTCAAGAACCTGAGGAACTTAATGCTGAACAAATGTAATCTCAGTGACGACTTCCACATATTGGTATTCTTTCTTCAGAGTTCACCTATTCTGGAGAAGCTCACTTTGCGGTGCTGCAAGGTATACTGTAGTTTGGTTCTTAAGTTCTTACTTAACCAACATGGTTCATCAGTCTTACATCTTTTGTGCTGCCCACAGTTCCCAAAACATTCTAGCAAAAAGAAAGGAACGCCCATACTCAACACCATACTCAACAAGACATCTTCTGAGCTCCGTGGACTGGATTTGCTGTGTGAGAACCTCAAGGTTGAAATCATATATAAATATGGCTATGGCCTACACCTTGTCCAGCTTCTGATGCGCATTTCAGTGAATCTGTTGGAGAATAACATTAAACTCACCAAAGTTAATTAGTGTTATTGGTATCCCAGGCCTTCTATGTTTCTCACCGTATGGTTCACATGTAGAATTTAGTTGCACATTATAGGTTCCCTTCAGATGCCCTAAATCGCAAGCTATGATGAAGACCTTGCTGTATTGACTATTATGCTATTGATTATTACTCTTTTTCTTTGCTTAAGGATATGACTGCCTCTGGAAAATATCTGTTTTAAGCCCTGTGTACTGTGTCTGTGTCAACTGTGCACCTACATGTTTGCTGCTGTGTTTACTTACTGAAACTGTCTCCAATTATAAAACACCGCAAGCTTGGAAAAAATGCTCGGAAATCACATGTTTTCTTCTGTTTTTTTTCTCTCCCTGGGAATCTTGGGACTAGCCAGACAGGTACATACTTTCGAAAACTATACAGCAACTCGAATTCATCCCACTTTTTGGGTCTAGAGATTGCTTGAGGCTGTGCTGACTACACATGAACTGAACACATAATCACCGAGTGCACCTTATCTCCCAGACCTAGTCAGTGAGTACACATTATCTCCCAGCTTCCGGACAATAGAGATTCAAGGGAATTAGGCCTGCTTTTACGTGTGATGGCATTTGTCAAAGCATCATGGATATTGGTCAGTGCGTCCCATCATTGCTCAAGTGCAGGATATAAATTGAGCAAGTAGCTACTCGGTAATCAAGACCTGCAGAGAGCTAAGTAAGATAGCTGATGCTCTTGCTAAAGGCAAGATGGGCAAGCATCTAGAATTCATTCCTTTTGTGTTGCCAAACAGTTGCTCATTCTCCAACTTGTAATATGAAGCATGTTTTAGGAAAATTCGACCGTGGTAACATGATCCTTATAACCTATTTTGTGATGCAATGCAAGTATTTTTTTTTTAAAAAGAAGAAGATATGATGCCCAAAAATATAAAATATATAAATGGCTACTTATTTCATAACAGCACAAAACTAACATATGCAATATTCTTGTATATAATCGAATACTTGTATGGAGTCATCGAGAAAACTGTTTTTTTTTCTCTCAACTAAGCAAGAGACACTACTATAGAAATGGTTTCCCCTTATGGTAACCGCCAATTCTATTAAAGTTGGTGGTGATGATCTATCACCGCTAATTTGAAATAGGACTGACGGTGAAAATCATTTTCACCACGGGTTCATATCTTAAACTAGCGGCGAAACCCAGTTCAGTTTTTACTATAGGTTTCCACCAGCGGTGGAAAACGGACCTAGGTGCATTATCACTCTCACCCTAGGCGTCGCCACCCTCTTTTTCTCTCTACCTCACCCACCACTTCAGCCCGCCCTTCCTCTCCCAAGCGCGGCAGCGGGGCTCGCCTCCCCTCAGGAGCATGGTTTAGGACAATGACGACAACCCAGGGATGACATCAACGGTAGCGTACGAATGGCCAATTTTTTAATGATCTATTCGCTTTTCACTATCGATCTGTAATCGATGACAATGAACTCTATTTTTACCGCCCATTTTTATTGTCGCCGCACAAAATCGACGATGATAGGGGGTTGAGGCCCAGCAGTGATGAGATACTTGTAGTAGTGAGAATTGCATGTCTTTTATATTAGGGAAGAAAATATTCCATACAAAGAACCATTGTCCGTTTTAAGTAGGCATATTAGGATTCACTACGAGAGATTGGGCCTTCTATGACAATTTTCATATGACAACATTTTTTAGTCATAGAAACGATGTGTTTATGACAATTTTTCTTTGGATGATAAGCGTTTGTGACTAAGTTGTGATTTAGTCATAAACAACCATCACCATGTGCCTTTCCCAATCTTTGTGACAATAGCTCATGACGAAATTGATGGAATGTGATGGTCATAAATTAAAAATCATTTTTTAATACTTGGTGTGTGCTGTATGGGTGGGGCACTTTGTTGGCCATTACAAAATTAGTTAAAGCTGTAAAAATATTATGAAAATTTATGAGCATTTTGCCCTGTAGAACAAGCATCATAATCCTTGGACTGAAAATCACACTAAACAATGCAGTATAAAGGACAAATTGACCCCAGGAAAGACTGGACTGGATCCTATTTTGAGAAGCAGATAACTGATGCTGATGCATTCCCGAAATGTCTAGTAGTAGCACCTGTTGATTCATTAGCATGTAAAGAAAAGAAACGGCTTGCGCAGGTAGGTCCCAGACCCTGAACAGTAACGAGATATAAAATATATAAGCAAGCATTTTCACCAGGTACAAGGATCAATGCCAATCACCAGGTAGGCAGGTACATCTGATTCTGATCCCCTTCAAAGAAAAAATTTAATCACAGCCATATCATCACAAAAGAGGTACAATGACGTGAAAAAGACCATAATTGTCACGGTCAGTTAGAAGCAGCGGAGGGCCTAACCTCTTGTAGTGATTTAAAATAAAGTTTCTTTAAAGGTATACTTGACTCTCAATTTGTCTTACATACTGAACAATGGTCGTTAAAAGATCATTGGAAGATGGGTTTATTCAATACCCCCTCTGTTCAATAAAATATAAGGTGTTTTAGTTTTTGTCCCAAGTTAAAACTTTAAGTTTAACCAAATTTATATATAAAAAAATATAGAAGCACCTTACAAACACCAACTTAGACAAACATCAAATTTGATCAAACTTGAAGAAGTTTAATTTAAGACAAACCTTAAAGACCTTATTTTGATAATGAGAAATTATACAATATGCATATAGTTCGGCTAATTATTAGTCAAAATCTTATGAGGTTTGATTTTAACCATAATTTCGAGTGGAGGGATTTCTTTAGAGAATGGTAATAATTGCGTTAAAAAAAGCATACGAATCCTGCATAAACAAAATATATGGAATTTGCTCAAAAAAATAAAAATATGGAATAATAAAGCTTTTTTTAGCAGAATAATAAGGGGGTGTTTGTTTATTTAGTCGTTCTTAAAATTCATGTCACATCGAATGTTTAGATACTAATAAAGAGTATTAAATATAGATTAATTACAAAACCAATTACATAGATGGAGGCTAATTTGCGAGATGATTTTTTAAGCCTAATTAATCTGTCATTAGCACATGTTTACTATAGCGCTACGTTGTCAAATCATAAACTAATTAGGCTTAAAAAATTCGTCTCGCAAATTAGTCATAAATTATATAATTAGTTTTATAATTAATCTATATTTAATACTGTATGCAGCACGTGTCTAAACATTCCACGTGACACCGATTTTACAGAACCTAAAGCTAAAACTCGGTCGCGGCAGCCCACAACAGGGCCGGCCCAGAAACACAGCTCCTCTTCCCCCAAATTCCCCAGCCCTCTCGCGGCGCCGGCGCCGGCGCCGCCCCTCTCGCTGCTGCGTCTCCTTCGGCTGGAGCAGCTCCTCCCCCCACGGAAGGTTCTGGCTGCGGCGCTCGGTAAGCCCCATTCTCCGGCTGCACATCTCTCGCCCCGCTCCCCGTACCATTGACTGGTTTGCTTTCGGCCCTTCGTGAACCCTTCTTGATTTCAATGTTCCGATGAAGAACATGGTTCTAACACAGCAAAATGCTTCGTCATTTTTCGAAATCATCGCCGTCTTTGATCTGGTAGCGCGACTCATCTAGTAATGGGAACAGGATTTTGTGGTGTTATGTGTAGATGTATTTTTTAAAAGTTTATCTTTTTATTTATTTGTCTTGCTGGGTTGTTTGGTCCTCTAACGTGAGAACTGCTCCGAGCAGGGCACGCCATGGAGCTTGATAATACCTTCAGGAAGCGGGCCCGCGTGAGTGGTGTCATCGACGGATGCTCGGCCGGCGGCCCGGACCGGTTGAGCTCTCTGCCGGACTGCCTCCTCCATACCATCATGTCCTTCTTGAGAGCCCGGCAGGCGGTTCAGACATGCGTGCTGTCCACACGGTGGAGGCACCTCTGGCGCTCGGTGCCGTGCCTTGACATCGACTTTGATGAGTTCAACAAGGCGCCCCCTTCTAATGTCAACCGCATCTGTCTCTCCAGTAGCGACGACAGTTCTAGCTCCGAGAGTGATACCTCTGATTCTGACAGTGACAGATGGCTACCGCATCCTTTCAACAAGGACTGGGAGGATTTTGAGGATTTTGCTGTGACCCTGATGCGCCGCTGTAACATTGCACAATTGGATTCATTCCGGCTGAATATTGTTAGAAGCAGAGCTCCGGTGTTTGGCAATAGACTGGCAGCAGGATGGCTCCGTCGCGCCATGAAATATGACACCCCAGATCGTGCCAGTAAGCTGGGACTGAGCTCAGGTTCTTGGCGCCTCAAAAGGCTGCATCTCTGCCATGTACTTCTTGATGACCATTTTGTGAAGCGTGTTAGTTCAGTGTGCCACTCTTTGGAGGATTTGGAGCTGGACGATTGCAGTTGTCAAATTATGTCAATCACCTCCCAATCGCTGAAGACCCTGGTTCTTAAAAAATGTCGATGGCACAGTCTTTCTGAGATTATATCGCCCACACTGAAGACATTGGTTATTGATGGTGGCTCAAATACTGCTGCCTGTGCGCTTGTTATCTTGGCCCCTGCTCTTGCATATCTGCATCTGGCTGTGGATGTTTATAGATTTTGTGGTGGTGTTTCATTAAACGAAGTGCCATCCGTTGGAAAGGCTTTTATTCATCTGCTGCAACACAAATATAATCATGCCAGAAGTAAACTTGATGGCGATCAATTCAAGCTTCTTTGTAGCATATCTAACTCGACAAATTTAGAATTATCGGGTGTCGGGACAAGGGTATGCCTTCGCCGTCTCTTGCAGTGTACTTTATTCACTCCAATAATGTTATGGTACTGTCTAATGTACTACAGGTGCTTGGTAAGGAACCCAGATTCCAAGAATTCAAGAACCTGAGGAAATTATTGCTGGACAACTGTGATCTCAGTGATAACTTCAGGACATTGGTATTCTTTCTTCGGAGTTCTCCTATTCTTGAGAAAGTCACTTTGAGGTGCTGCAAGGTATACTGTTGTTTGGTTTTTAATAATTAACTAACGAACATAGTGCATTGTCTTACATCTTTTATGCTGGCTACAGTTCCCAAAATGTTCTAAAAAGAGACATATGCCCATACGCAGCGAGATCTCATCTTCTGAGCTCCGTGGACTGGATTTGCTGTGTGAGAACCTCAAGGTTGAAATCATATATAATGATGGCTATGGACCCCACCTTATGCGGCTTCTGCTGCACATTTCAGTGAATCTGTCGAAGAACAACATTAAACTCACTGAAGTTAATTAGTGTTTTTGTTATCCCATGCCTTCTATGTGGCATCTCACCAAATGGTTCATGTGGAATTTATGTGCACATTATAGGCTTCCTTCAGATGCACTAAATCGCAAGCCTATATGTTTGACTAATTTTAAGTGTTGACTATATATGCTATTGATTTTTACTCTCTTTCCTTGCTTAAGGATATGATTGCCTCTGTAAAATATCTGCTTTAAGCCCTATGTGCTGTACTGCTGTGTGTCAGTGTCGACTGCCCACCGTCCACTTACATGGACAAAGCTAGATTAAGTTCTTACATATTGGGAAACTGTCTCCTATTATAAAATATCACAAGCTTGAAAAATGGGTCTGGAAATAGCTTGTTTTCTTCTATTTTTCTCCTTCCTGGATCTTCTGGGGACCAGGCAAAGGTACATACTTTCGAAAACTATGCACCATCTTGAATTCATCAGCGTTTTTGCCATCGCTGTTCAGTTATCTTGTGTATGGGTCCCCTACTTGTATGTCCAAAATATCTTGAGCTCCTCTGCTTTAACATGCATGTCCTTCTATGTGGATGCTTGCCTTATGGTTCAGACGTGGAATTTACATGCATATTATGGGTTGCCTTCAGATGCACTAAATGGCAAGCGTATACTTTTGACCAATTTCGAAGTGATGCAGGTCTTTGCTCTTTTGACTGTATATGCTATTGATTTTTAGCCTTTTTAACTTGCTTCTGGTGCTTTTAGCTCTATGTACTCTTTTTTCCTTGATGTTCGCTTCTGTGTGTGCTTGACTGCTTTCCTACTGAAATGTCGCCAATTATAAAACATGACAATCTTGAGAAATGCTCTGGAAATCGCATGTTTTCTTCTGTTATTTTCTCCCTGGGGCTCTTTGGGATCAGGCAGAGAGCTACATGAAAACTATACACCAACTCAAATTCATCAGCGTTTTTGTCATCACTATGCAGATATCTCCTGTATTGGTCCCCGTCATGTATGTGCAAAATATCTTGAACCCCTCCGCTTTGACATGCATACCCTCTCAACTTAACTTGGAGATTTCAAATCGTATATTGATATCTTTCTTCTCTACTATCCCTATTTGAGGTTCTACTGACTACTGATGAACTGAAAACTTTGTGGTGACTACAGACGAACTGAATCCTCTAGCTGGCTCACCCTTTTTGCTTCTGCAATGCACAAGATGTGTGATCAAGTCCAGCGCAATTTGTGTGTTTTCTGTTCCAATTTCAGTTCGTTTACTCGTGCAAACAAACCTTATCATGTGCAAGGATAAGGATTTCAGTCGGTGAAACAAAATTTCAGTCAATAGGAACGCAAATGCGGGTGACGTAAGGATTTGAAAAGGCAACCAAATAAACCGATGGATTAGGAACCACGCAGTGCACCAAGCACCGGCCAAGTGACCCACTGATAGTCTCAGGCGAAATAGGCCCTCTTTTACATCATTCTTTTTCACTCGTGCGATGGCAATGGCATTAGGCAAAGCAAACAGATCAATCACTGGGCCAAAGTGCAGCATTGTTTAGTGCTACTTTTTATACCCACATATATAAAAGTCATACACAGTCCTATGTCGCATCACACCCAACAAGGCCACACCAAACACAGAGAACAAATCTGAACTTCATTGTTGCCAGTACACAACATTAGCATGGGGCATGGCTCCACCTCACTAGCGAAGTCTTTTTTTTTTTTACTTTGGCTCCATGAACAGATCTTTTGGTGGAGCCGTTTTGGTACCCCATTTGACAAAACAACTCCTTACATTAGACAAAAATGAATAAAAGACCAAAATGCCCTTCTTTCTCCTGTCCATTTCTTCTTCCCCTTTGTGCCAGATGAATCCGAGGAAACTCAGGAACAGCGTTCGTCGCTCCCTCGACCTGCCTGCTCAGGCGACCCGCATACCGGCAGGCAGACGCGCCCCTCGGTGGCCCGGTGCCCCTGTGCCCGCGCGCCCAGGGTGACGTGCCCCCTGCGGCCCGTGTGCACCTACAGTCGCGCGCCCAGGCTGGCCTGCACGCCCCGAGGCCCGAGCGCTCTGGTGGCCATGCACCCTGGTGTCCGGGCGCCCGCACAGGTGCCCATGAGCCTCGACGGGGGCAATCCGGGGTTTTATCCTCATTGGGTTCCACGTAGGCAAGGTGAAGCCAATTTTTGGCTCCACTCCTCATCTATCCTTTGTCTCAATGCATTTTAAGGGTCTCTCTTTGTGAAGTCGTTTTATTTTACTAGTTTGGCGCAAAAAAGGCTTCAAACTGCTCCTAAAGCCGGTGGAGAAGCCTTACCAAATAGGGCCAAAGATTGTTTTGCAACCATAATAGTTTTGTGCTCTCAATGTTCTACCATATTGACTTGCTTATTCAAAAAAAAAGAATTTTGCAAATATAAAAGATAAAGTCAGTTCATTGGCACATAAGGATTTGCGAAGAGAGAGAGAGAGAGAGAGAGAGAGAGAGGAGAGAGAGAGAGAGAGAGAGAGATCTGAAGATGAAGTCAGTTCATTGGCACACAAGGATTTGGAGAGAGAGAGAGAGAGTTGCGTCATCATTTTCTTTGTGTTGCTATAGCATTGAAATAGATGTGATGCCCAAAAGGTAAAAAACAAGAAGCTTAGTATTCTTGTTTGCAATCAAATGCTTATATGGAGTCATGGTGAAAAATAACACTTTTGCTCGAATTCGTAGGAGACCTACACATCTTTTATATCAAGAGATAAAATGTGCGCACCTTTTATATGAAAAGATAATGTCATTTGAAGAAACCTTCGTCCGTTTTTTATAGGTGTATTTTTAACTTGACCCTACAGTAGCTTTTCACTAACAAATCAATGTCATATCAAAAAAATCTTTGAAAGATGGATTAAGTCCATTTTTGGCCCCTCAACTATGGTGTCGGTCTAATTTTAGCCCCCAACTACAAAACCGTCTAGTACCGGTACCCCAACTGTCAAAACCGTTCACTTTTAGCACCTGGCGCGGGGGCAAGGCTGTTTTGACCGACGTTGAGCGGTTTTAACACACAACATCCATCTCAGTGACATGTGGGGCCCACGCGTCATCGACTCAATCCCTCCCTCGCCTATGACCACGACGTGGCCGTCCGGGATGGCGGAGACGGTCGCCGCGGTGCGCGCGTCCTCGAGCACCAGCGCCACCGGTCGCCACGCCAACGCCGTCGCGCGCCACGAGGCCCTGCGCCTGCGTCGGGTACCCACCGACGACGAGGAACCTACCGCCTCCCCCGGCGGCGACGCAGAGCCCGCGTGGCTCATCGCGCTCCTCCGCCATGTCCGGGAGCTATGCCCACACGTCGGCGTCCGGGTCGTAGGCGAGTGCTGACCGCAGGGCGTTCTTCTCGTCGTCGTGGCCACCGGCCACATACACGGCGCCGCCGACAGCCGCGCAGGCGAAGAAGGAACGGCACGGGCCCGGCATGGGTGTGCCGCGCCGCCACGCGCATGTCAGGAAGTCGTAGACGAACACCGTGTCCGTCTGGGCCCACGTCTCCGGGTGCCAGCCGCCGACCACCATCAGCCGCTTCCTCCCATGCCCGCCGGCGCCATCCACGATGACCACCTGGCAGAAGAGGGGGAGGCTCTCGCTTGGCCATGGCAGGGGCGCCCACCGTCCCTCCACCGGCTCCAGCAACACCATCCGGTATGAGTTCGCCACAGTCGAGTGCTTGTCCACCGCCGGACCAGCGTCGTCGTCAGTCGTAGGCGCTGCCGGCTGTGCCTAGACCAGCGCCTGGACCACATGTGGGACCACCGTGTCGTCCCTGCGTCGAGCGCTGGCCTGAGCGTGCGGACGGTGCCGTGGAGGCGCGCGAGCGCCGGGTGGCACGGCTGGCTCGTGGACCGCGCGTGTGCTGCCGCGGTCGACGCTGTGGCCGCCTTCCTCGTGGACAGCCCTCTGGCCTTTCTTTGATGCCAAGCAAGTGGCGGTGTGCCCTAGCCCCACCTTTGCCGAGTGGCTATAAAAGCCGAGAACATGATCGCCATGACTGACCGCACGTCCCTCCATCCCTTTCCAAAATTCATCGTGCCCAATCCATCTCTCCCTAATTCATCTCGTACACAACTGCCTCAGGTTCCTAGCTATCTCTTGGACGCGATCCCAACTACTTCCGTGCACCAGCGTGCTCGTCCAAGTCGATCTCACCGCCGTGGCCACCATGGACACCGAACTAAGGTCGCCATGGCCGCACTCTCCTTGCTCCACTTCTCCGAGCTATTTTTCATGATTTTGCTCTGATATGATGCCTTAGTCTCGTCTACGAAACAGGTTAGTCGGAGGACCTTCGCCATGACGGGAAGGCCACTACCGCCGTCGTTGCAAACCGGCGCACCACCGTACACGTGGCCAGGCTTCCTTGAGCCGTCTCTCCCATAACCGACCCTACAGAAGCATTCGCGGTGAGTCCCTGTTTCTCATCCGCCTACCCGTTAAACCTCTACCGTCGCTGTCTCGTTGGAACGTAAGCGCCATCGCCGGTGAACCCGCGCTTGCGTGGGTAGCTGCGCTCTGCCCCCGCCGCTACCCCAACTGCGCACCAGTGGCCTTGCAGACCTAGCGCGTGGGCTGCGTGCTCCTTGCGCCTCCCTCCCTTGCCGCCGGCGAGCCTCCTCCAGGCCGGATTGGCCGCCGGCCGTCGCCCCCTGTGGCGTGCTCTGCTTTGGAGCCACCCAAGGACTGGGAAGGTGAAGACGAGATTTTTATGGGTGCTAAATACAAATGTTATGACTCATATGAATAGTAGTATGGAGTGAAGATTAGTTTCATGAAAATCCAGGGTCTCTCATGCAAAATGCGCAGCACGCCCTGGGCCTCCCCTCCTGGGCCGGCCTGCTCCCGCGCGTGGTCAAAACCGCTCAACGTCGGTCAAAATAGCCTTGCTCCCGCGCCAGGTGATAAAAGTGAACGGTTTTGACAGTTGTGGTACCGGTATTATACAGTTTTGTAGTTGAGGGTTAAAATTAGACCGACGCAATAGTTGAGGGGCTAAAAGTGGACTTAATCCTTGAAAGATTGGATTTATTCATATAGGTATTATTGCCTCTCTTTTTTTTTGTGACGATAGGTATTATTGCCTCATGTAAGGCGTTTTGTTTGTTCTAAATTAAAAAGTCTTCTAAGTTCATTCAAGTATATAGAAAACGTAGCAACAGCTTACAACACTAAATTAGTTGCATTAAATATGCCAAATTTAATCAAGCTTAAATAAGGCTAACTTAGGATAAACATAAAACACCATGAATTTTTTAATCGAAGTATTACACACTATTCATGCATATAATTTTAACTTTATTAGAATCCAAAATTTGATGAAGTTTATTAATCCTGAGTGTAGCGATTACTTTAGAGATCTCAGAAAAAAGAAAATATATGGCTAGAGCATCTCCAGAAGTTTGATATAGTTTACTTGCTAAACTATTAGATCTAGTAAGTTAATAGAAGAAAGAAATAACAAATGAAAAATGTGTAGCCTAATGGTTACAAGAATATTAGTACGTAGGGTTAGAGATGTCGGACTATAGGGGTGAATAGTCATTTCTAAAACTTAATCGCATCGGCTAACTTGAAACAAATGCGAATTAAAACTATCGGTGTAGCCAAGACTACACCCCGCTATCTAAATTCACAAGCACCTTATAAAGATCCTAAAGAAGCAACAAATGTGTCAGGCTAGCTAGAGCTCACCTAATCAATTCTAGAGCAAGGTCACACAAACCTATGCACTAGTACTTCATACAAACTGGGGAGCTCCTACACAACTAGTGATGCAAAAGCACAAAGCCACCTAAGCTCACTAGCAATGCTCAATAACAAGGCTACAGAAGCCAAATTATAGAGCGCAAAATACTTAGCTACACAAACTAAGCAATGTGACTAACAAAGTTACTAAAACTAAATTAGCCACCCAAGGGAGCTACTTCTATGCTACACAAACAAGAAGGCAACTAGCAAGCTACTAAAGCTAAACTAGTCACAAGAGCAACTACACAAGCACAATGTATGAAGTGTAAATACAAGCTTGTGTTGCATGGAATGCAAACCACCGAGAAGATGATGAAGACAATGTTGACATGGTGATTTTCTCCCGAGGTTCACTTGGTTGCCACCAAGCTACGTCCCCCATTGTGTCGACCGCTCACTTGGTGGTTCGGGTGACTAATTGGCATCACCCGCCAAGCCCATACGTCGGGCACCGCAAGAACTACCGAAAGTGAGGGTAGCTCAATGACACGCTCAACTAGAGTTGCTCTTCATGATCCCCATGGGGTGAGCACAATCCCCCTCACAAATCCTCCTCCGGAGCACCGCACAATCTTCTCGCGTGCTTCAACGGAGTCACAAGCCACCAAGCCGTCTAAGAGGTGGCAACCTCCAAGAGTAACAAGCACCACCGGCTTGCAACTCGAACACCTAGTGCCACTCGATGCAACCTCACGATGCAATCACACTAGAATCGCTCACTCGATTAGATGATCACTATCAAGCACAAGTGAGTTAGAGGGCTCCCAAGCACACCTATACAAGCCACCAAGGCTCAAGAGTGCTCGGCTAGCGACCAAAGGCCAGCCAACACTTCTATTTATAGCCCTAAGGACTAAACTAGACGTTACCCCTTCACTGGGCTTTCTATGCATCGACTGGATGCGTAGGTCCACTTGACCAAACGCGTCGATCCATGCGTCCAGTCGCTGCCATGTTTCCACATGTCACTAGCCATTTAAACTAACCGTTGCCGCCAATGGCTATCTCCTATATGCGCCAACAATCATCGATCGGATGTGCTACTCGGCTTGACCCGACTTTGCGCTGCCCCAAGCCACGTCCGATCGCTCAAATAATGGTCTAGAGAAGCTTTTATGTGACCGGACGCCGTCCGCCTCGCATGACCAGATGCGAGACCATTGTCCGACCAGCTCTGCACCCGCGCGCCAACTCCAGCGCCACCTACGTCACCGTACGTCACCTGTGACAGGACGCAAGCCCTGCGCGTCTGGTCACTTTTGCTATGCAGCGTCCGGTCACTTGACCGAGACTATGCCCAACTGCTGCCATTGACCGAACATGCAGGTCCTGCCGAGGCCAGCGTCCGGTCACTCACAGTGACACCTTCATTTCTTCACCGAGTTGATCCTCATCAACTCCAACTTCTTCTTCTTTGCAAATGTGCCAACACCACCATGTGTATGTGTGTTAGCTTTTCAGAAACATTTTTAAGGAGTTATCCACTCAACTTGCCATGCCACTCGATCCTAAGACGCATGCAAAGTTAGATCGCTCAAGTGGCACTAGATGACCGATATGCAAACAAGTTTGCCCCTCTTGATAATACGGCCATCTATCCTAAACCCGGTCATAAACTTCTCTACACACCTATGACCGGTGAAATGAAATGCCCTAGGTTATACCTTAGCCTTGTGCATTCCATTCCAACTCCTTCGATGTTGATGCAACACATGCACCAACATGATCGACAATGATATGATCCACTCCATATCATCACGTGATCGTATTGATTCATCGATCTTGACCTCACTTGCTCTTCACCGTTGCTTCGGTCCATCGGCACCAAGTCATCACTCAACTTGCCCTTCACACTTGCAACCGGTCCATCGAGCCAAGTCATGTCTTGATCTTCTCCACCTTGATCACATGACTCAATTTCATGTCTCATGTGCAATGAGCTCCTTCATCATCACATGTGTGAGCTTTGCAACATCTTCGAGCCATCTTCACTGTCATGGCATATGTTGCTCATAGACATGTACTTGTGGACTAATCATCTGTTTATCTCACTCAAACACATATTAGTCCACCTAAGGTTCTCACTCAATTACCAAAACCAAATAAGGACCTTTCAATCTTCCCCTTTTTAGTAATTGATGACAACTCTATAAAGATAAGGAAATAAAGCACTTTTGGATTCATGTTGCTTGTCCCAGCAATTTTACCATGTGTAAATGATTTTGGACAAGTACCACAAACCTGAATTGGTAGTATTAGCTCCCCCTACATATGTGCTAGAGTGTTTGGTTTGAAGCTCGCACATATACATAGATTGGAATTATGGGAGAGTAATTACTACCAAAGATGCTAAGGTGTAAAGAATTAACCTTTGAAGCGTGATACCAATCGGAGTTGCACTATTAACACCATCCTTAGCACCATGAGTAGCTAGACAACAAAAATACTAGAAACCCTCTGAGATCAACATTATAAGCAAGGTTCTAGTACCACATGTAGAAACACAAGTCTAGATACCATCCTATACATGCTAGTTTTCATTTCATCAATCAAATTCTATAACTAGCATACACCACACAAGCATGCATATCAAATTTAAAAACTTATGCAATGCAAGCAAGCACATGAATATGCACATATCAAATGCAATCAATCAAAGTTCAAGAGCTTGCTTCCCCTACTTGTGTGCTTCTCTTTGCCCAAGAATTTTGATCCTTCTCAATTCCTCAATGTTGCTCCCTCTTTGTCCATGTCCATGTCTAACCTCTATTTCTTTGTCTCAATCTTTCCTAAAGCTTTCATATTGTAGGATCTCTGGTTGGCCTAGAGGGGGTGAATAGGCCTGTCAAAACAAACACTCAAACTTTTATCAATTTCACCCTGTGGCACATCCATGC